CAGGCTGCACTCCCTTCTCCTCCATTCTCCTCTCGGGATCTTGGGCACGCACGCACATACACCCAGCGTGAGTTTAAGCCACTGGGTCCCGGACGAGAACCGCGGTCGACTATATGGAAGTCCAGCGACATAGCCATTACGCCAACTGCTGGTTCCTGTCATACTAATTTTTAAACTGACTCAGGTATAGCTTGGTCTAATCACTGTAGTCCCTGATATGGTTAAACCTAAATTAAGGCCCTTACCCACTAGGCTACTGTCTGGCCCAGCATTATTTTTTAAGTTATAAAATTTGTATAACATAAATTGGCCATTTTAACCATTTTTATTTATTTAATTTTATATAATTATTGCTTTTATTATTTAATTTGCTATAGGGAACACACATGAGAGAGAGACACACACACACACACACAGAGGGGAAAGTGACAAAAGCAGCCACGCCTGAGACTCAAACCGCAGTCGGCTATGTGGGAGTCCAGTGCCTCAGTCACCATATTGACCCCTACCATTTTATAAAAAATACTTTTTTTTTTTAGAAATTTTTGTTATAGGGCACATGCACTAGCCAGAGAGACAAAGAAAGAAAGAAAACTAGAAATAATGCTTCTGCCCCGCCCTGCAATGGCCTCCCACAATCCCTTCTCCTGGGATTTTGGCTGCATGCACATGTGCCCTATGTGAATTTTAAGCCACCAGGTCTGGGACTCAAACTGTGGTGGGCCATGTGGGAGCCCAGCGCCTTAATCACTATACCATCTGGCCCCAAGAGATTTTTAATTTTGAGAGATTTTTGCTATAGGGCATATGTGCTCACCGGAGAGACAGAGACAGACAAAGAAAAGGCAAGAAATCACCTGGGTGGAGGGGGATAGTCACACTGCAATCCTTCTCCTCCATTCTCAGGATTTGGGGCACGCATGCCCAAGTGATTGATGTTTCCAGTTGTAAGATCTGGGACCTGAACCATGGTCAGCCACGTGGGACTCTAGCACTCCAATCATCATGCCACCTGCTGACCCCAAAACTTTCTTTTTTAATTTGCTGTACGGCTCATTTGCTGAGAGAGAGAGAGAGTTCTCTTCTCCATTCTCCTCTCAGGATTTGGGGCATGGGCATGCTTCCACACTTGTCTGGCATGATTTTCAAGTGGCCTGGTCTGAGACAGGTGCACTGTTGGTCATGTGGGATCCAGTGGCGTTAACCATCATGCCACTGGCTGGCCCCATCATTCTCACCATTTTATACATACAATGATGTGGTATTAAGTATATTCACTATATGCATACTCATCACTATTTCCAAAAATTTGTCAATAAACAGAAACGTCGTGACTGCTAAGTAGTGACTTCCCTTAGCCCCGTCCTCCAGATCTTGGTAACCTCTAATCTACTTTCTGTCTCTAAAGTTGTCTATTGCAGATATTTTATGTAAGTGGAATCACACTATATTTGTATTTTTGTTTTTTGGTTTGGCTTATTTCAGTTTGCATGTGCATTCATGTTAAAGCATGTATGGGTACCCCGGTCTGCAGGCCGAAGGGATGTGGAACCCTCGAGTGGAAGCAGGCGAATGGATTGAGAAAAGATGAAGACAGAGTCACACATGTAGAGAAAGCAGGGATCAGGCGGACCGGGATTGGGTGGACCGGGCATCGCTGACATTCCCAGGTTTATTTTATTATGCAGAAATGGGTGATGGAGAAACCAGGTCGTGGCTGTCATGGCTGTCAGGGCTGTAGAGCTTCTCCCGTCCTATGGCTCTGTTGTCTCATAGTTGGAAACTAATTTACACCACTCTGCAGTGTCAGGCAGTGTGTCTTTGTTAGAGCTTCCACTTGCCCTGCAGCATGACCGCAAAGGTCATCTCTACTTTAAAACTTGCTGGTGCCTACTCCAGTTCGGCAACTCTCTACACTTGGGGCCGGAGGTGGCATGATGGTGGTTAAGGCACTGAACTCCCACATGGCCAACTGCAGTCTGAGTCCTGGATTTGGTGTCTTGCTTTCTTGCCTAATAATAATGACAAATGGAATTAAATAAATAATTTCTTATAAAAATTCATTCTTTCGGGATCAGCAGATGGCCTAATGGCTATGTCACTGAACTCCCATGTAGTCCCCTGTGCTTCAAGTCCCGGACCTGGTAGCTTAAACTCATGCCAGGTGTGTGTGTGTGTATGCACATGATCCTGAGAGGAGAATGGAGGAGAAGAGATTGC